TTGTTTGTAGCCCCTTTAGGCACTGGAAGGTGCTGGAAGGTCTCCCCGGAGTCTTCTCTTCTCCAGGCTGAACAGCCCCAACTCTCAGCCTGTCTCCAGAGCAGAGGTGCTCCAGCCCTCCCATCATCTTTGTGGCCTCCTCTGGACCCACTCCAACAGCTCCATGTCCTTCTGATGTTGGGGACCCCAGAACTGAACGTAGCACTGCAGGGGGGTCTCACAAGGGCAGAGCAGAGGGACAGAATGCCCTACCTGACCTGCTGCTCATGCTGCTTTGGATGCAGCCCAGGGCACGGTTGGCTCTCTGGGCTGCCAGCGCACGGTGCCGGCTCATGCTGAGCTTCTCATCAACCAGCACCCCCACGTCCTTTTCCTCAGAGCTGCTCTCAGTCCATTAAAAGAGGCCCCAGGACTGCAGCCAGAGACCCTCCTGTGCTTCCCAGGCCCTTGGCCCTGCTCTTGGGACAATGACAAGGTGCAGTCAGGGGTGACCTCTTGCAGTAGCGTCGCCCTTCGGAGGAGGCAATGCCACCCAACTCAAGACAGGGGAGCTTAGCAGCGTGCCCATGCCTGTCCCAGCAGGCCCCTGCCTGGGTCAGGTTCTGCAGGCAGCCTGTAGGCAGGGCTGGTGGCACCACACTCCACCATGGCTGGAGGCTGTGCACACCCCTGCCATGGCACTGCAGGGCTTGAGGATGGGGACACAGCCACCAGCTGTGCCACCCACATCCCCTCCACTTCACCTGCAGTAGCCTCAAGCAGCGCTGCTGGGCACTGGGATTTATTGAGAAGCCAGGGGGTGGCAGTGGTGGCAGGTGGCTGTGGGACATGTCCCACCTGTCCATAAGTGCAAGTTCCCATGGGGGCAGCAGGTCACTCAGAGCTGGGGGGCACTCGTACAGTCTCAGGCAGAGTGAGCGCTATCCCACCGTGCCACTATGGCCCTTTCCAGCTCTGGCAGTACACAGGGAGAGATGATGGGATGGGATGGGATGGGATGGGATGGGATGGGCTAGAGCACCTCAGGGTGATGCACCCCACCAAGGAGCATCCACAGAGGAGACCAATGGGTGCTGTGGTGACAGTGGGACAAGGCTGGAGAGGACACAGGGCAGCAGGGCCACAGTGGGGACAGGGCCATCACCCATAGTTGTAGCCAGGGGAAGCCAAAGTCCTTCTGTGGTGGGGACGGCAGATGGAGTAGCAGGGGTTGCACTTGCTGTCGGACAGGTCCAGGTTGCAGTTCCAGCTGATGGTCATACTGATCACCCGCCCTGCAGAAGGGACTGGCAGAGCTTGCGCAGCACAAACGCACCGTGGGCACAGCGTTGGAATGGGGACACACCACCATAGGCATGGCATCCCTGTGGGCATGACATCCAAATGAGCACAGCATCCGCACAGGCATAGCATAGCATGGCACCACCATGGTCATGGCATCTCCATGGGCACAGCATCCCCATGGGCACAGCACTGCAATGAGCATGGCATCCCTACAGGTGTAGAATATCCACAGGCATGGCACTCCCACAGACTCAGCATCCCCATGGGCACAGCATCCAAACGGGCACAGCTTCCCCAAGGACATGGCACCTCCGTGGCTATGGCATCCCTGCAG